TATTGGAAATTTACGCGACCTTATAAATTAACTGGACATAAAATAATTAAATTCTTTATAAATCTTAAATTAATTTTTAAATTATATTATTAGTTAAAACTGACACTACAGTTATTAATTAATAACAGCGATTAATAATGCTTTAGCTGTTAAACTACTTAAAATTCCTAAATCTTGTTTAAAATACTACAAAATTTTTAAGTTTTAAATATTTTAAATAAAATGTATATATGTATATATATACGTTTATACTGGGTGTTTCTCTTAAGGTGGCGAATGATTCTTTGATTAATTTCCAGAAAAAAACTGTCTGGTTTGGAGGAGGGGGGGTGCAGATATACTCGTTTTCGAGCTACAGGCCGTTAAAAAAAATGGTATCAGATTTTTCCTGCATATAAATAAATGTTTATAACTTTGAAGCCTTGCGACATCGAGTAACTATCATAAAACAAAAAAAAACAAAAATTTTGAGTTTAACGAGCTTTATCTCGAAAACTATGGCTTAACTACAAATTGATTGTAAGACCGAAATTAAAGAGCAATCAATCGTCTTTCAATCCAATAACCAATGGTTATTCGAAGATATCAGCACCACCCCAGTTATACAATTTTTTAGTGGGAATTGGTCAATGAATCATTCCTGAAACTATTGGCCACCTTATAGGAAACACCCTGTATATAGGATAAAATCAGGATTCTAATAAAATAAAAATATTTCTTCTTTTGCATTCCTTTTGAATAAGTTGTCAAAAAGAATTCGAATAATATTTTTTTCCTTTGGCATAAAAAATTTTTTTTTTGTTTTTTAAATTGTAAATCGTCTATTTTGAATACTTTTTTAATACTATTAAAATTATAATGTTTTTTTCTTATTTATTCTTTAAAAATAATGCAATTTAAGTTTTTGGAACGTGATTACTTAGAATATTTCCCAAAGGCATTCGATATATATAAATTTTTTCGAAAAGTAATATTTTAATATTAAAAACTTTTAAATTAAGTTTTCCTTAGTCACTTTATTTATTTTTTATTTTCTTAATATTCTGAACTTCTTTTGACCTTTTTTGGTATTGTTAAAAAAAAAGTTTTGTCTCGTGTTGCAAAAAAAAAATATTTTTCTTACAATGTTTTCTTTTTTTTTTTTGGAAAAATAAGTTTAAAATTAAATTTTTAAAATATTTTGATTTTATAAAAAAAAATTGAAAAATAAATTCAATAAGAGTTTAAATTAAATTTTAAATAACATTTAAAATTTTTGTTCTTAAAAATGATTTAAAAAGTTTTTTTTTTCTTTTTTAAATAAAATTAAAAGATTTTCTTTCCAGAAAAGTTAATATGTTTGATAAGTGAAAGTAAATTTGAACTTGACTGAAAAACAAGAGTAATTTTAAGTTTTACACCATACAACAAAATTAAAACGCGATTAAATTTTAATTAATCAGCTATGTAGCTTTAAGTATAGCCGCACCATTGGGGTTATAAAAAAAATTTGTCACTTTGCTTCATATATGCCTTTGTGATAGTTGTTGATGAGTTGGGATAAAAGCTGACAGGAAATCACAAAAAATACTGAAAATAAATACTGAAAAGAAAGAAAGTTTTAAAGCAATAGTTTGCAATTTGAACAAATCATGGAGGCGACACATCAGCAACATTTCAAGTCCTTTAGAATTTTCTACAGTATTTTGATAAAATTTTATATAAACTTAAATAAGCAACTTGCTAATATTTATTTGAATATTCAGCAAAACCTTTGGCAATCTGAGGATTGTCTTCCAATAATTTTATTAGAAAATCAAATTGCTTCGTATTCGATAGCCTTTTTGCTACTGTTAAATGCAAAAACCCTTATTATCAATATAAAAATTAATAGAGTTAAAATTTTTAAGTATAATATGAAATCTCTAAATCATTTAACACTCTCACTGCCAGGTCAGTCAAAATGGTGGGACTCATTACTGCCAACAATGGCCACAAAGATATTTATTAAAATTGTTCCCGCTACGGCGACGATTTTTTGTAATTGCCGATATCATATAAGATAAAAAAATTTATAAGTACCATTTTAGCAGATATCCAAAAATCAGAATAAGTCCTATTCCAGCATCAAGAATTTTCTTGATCTATAATGACAATCAGTCTCTGAAAATAATAAAAATATATTCCAGGAGTGACTGAAGAGGCAATTTTTGCATAATCCATTTTCAGGTCGAAATGCCGACCAAAAAAATTTTGTAGTTTATTTTTTGTAGTTTATTTTCAGAAAAAGTAAAAATGCCGTTAACATTCTCGAATTATTTTTAATAAAATTTTTCGTGAAAATATTATTAGGGAATTGCCAATAGGTTTAAAAATGAACAAAGTAAAAACCAACTTTACCATGTGCATTTTTAAGTATAACAGGAAAATTTGAATGAAAGCCTTTAATTTAATTTTAATTAAAAATATTTTGGTTGAAAAAAAACAAAATTCAACCATTAAAATATCCCAGCATTACAATTTATTCCTTCTCTTCTTTAATTTAAATAACAAAATAATCATAAAATTTAACCGCTTTTAAAAACCAAAAATAGGTTAATAATGGTTTTAATTTTATTTTATAATTAAAGTCGAAGCAATTACAAGGAATTGTTAAACCGAAAAAGGAAAAGTTTTAAAGTAAAAACGGCGAAAAAAAAATTGATGACCATTTCCTTGATGGCTTTTAACGCGTTTTTTTATTACCCTCGAAATTGCATTACTTCCAAAAAAAATTGCAAATGGTTTCTGTTTTTTCTTTAATCTTTTCTTCATTTTTAATTTAGATGACGAGTTGAAATTTTTAAATGAAAATTTTAAATTTCATTGCTGTATTTCATTTCTGGCTCCTTCAAATTTTGTTATAACAGTCGAAATTTTTATTTTATTATTGAAAATTACTAAAATTTTCTTCATTCTTTAACTGACAACAATAATACGAGTAATAATGATGATCATTAAAAATATTTATAAAATAACCAGAATGATGCATACGCCAATTAAAAAAAAAAAATTTAACAATAAAGAATTTTAATCATTTTTTATTATTTTGCCACAAAACAAAATTTTGAACAATTTAATTAATTAAAAAAAAAATCATTAAACAAAAAAAAAATTTGGTTCAAAACTATTTATTATTGAATTTTTGTAATTTTTTCATAATAAAAAAAAAATTTATTTTATGCAATTAATTCAAGATCATTGCATTCTTTCGAAAATTTTTTTACGCTGTTAATCAAGCAGGTTTTAATAAAGATTAAATTATAAATGTCATTTAATTCTAGGAAATTTTTAATGAATGATTTTTTTACTCTTTTTAAATGAACGGCGATTTTTATCACTAGAAAATGGTTTGAGTTTAAAGGAAATTGAGCAGCGAACATTTAAAAATTTTGAAACAAAAATTTCATTTAAAATTATTCTGAGAGCAATAAATTATCTCGGCTTCAATTAAATCTGAAAATAAGGATGTACATCAATATAACTTGCAAGTATTGAGCACTCTTTCTAAAATAACGCGATACTAAATTTTCTTGGCCTTAAAGTTGTAGCTTCTATAACTTTTTTAAGCAATAAAAATTTAATAAAAAAATTATTTTAAAATTTTAGTTAATTTCTACTCTCATACATAAATCGAATTTAATTTTAAATTTGGAGCAGTGCTCTGGTGGCAGGTATGGTGAGTATAAGGCCACCGAGTAGAGAGCACAACTCTCGTTTTCTTTTTATGGTTTTAAAAAAAATGTATAGAGTTCATATGACGGAAGAAAAATGTTCGCTTTCCTTTATGTTTTAGATTTTCATATAACTTTTGAAGTTGAATTTTGATAATCGCAAAAAAATTGCCAAAAGAAGGAAATTTGCATTCAAAATAAATTTTCTTAAAAATATATTTCCTAAAATTTATAGAAATCCAATTGATGCAGATCTTCCTCATTGCAATTCCATAGAGTGCTGAGTTAAATTACGGAAAGAAAATTTAAAATCAATAAATTGAAAAATATTCATAGGATAAATTCACCAAACTCTAAGCATATCCTCTTTTTATAACAAAACTGTACTGAAAACACATCTTATATCTTATATTACATCTTATATTAAAGAAAATATTGAAATTTTCAATAATTCAGTGCCAACTTAGAATTAACACACAAAATATATTCAACAAATGAAAATTTTGAACTAACTAGGGCAGTGTTTGGAATTTCAAAGTAAATTCAAAGTAAAAATTTAATTTCTCTAAATTTCTTTAAATTAAAATTAATTGAACTGATTTTCACACAATTTCATAATTACATAAGTTCATTTTCACGTATTTCGCAAAAATAAAAAAGAAATTTTTTTACGTAAACGAAATTTCTTAAAAAATGGAATCGCAAATTTCCAGTGTACCGCTTTGAAATTTATTTATGATTTCTTAAAATTAAAAAAATATTATAAAAGAGAAAAGGTAATTCGATTTTTAAATTGCTGTGAAATTTAATAAACTTAACAAAAGGATTGTGTGTGCAAGCAAGAGTCAATTTTTACTTTAATGTTTCAATTAAAATTAAATTTAATAAAATTAATAAAAAGTTTTTAATTCAGTTGAAGTCATCAATTTACACGTATACACACATATTTGCGTCCTGATGAATGTCTAATTTGTTTTGCAAATATTTTGAAATTTTTTACTGAATTATGATGAAAAGAAGAAAATTTTTTTCATAGAGAATTAACCGATTTCAATCCCATTTTATAATTTTAATAATTTTGTAAAAGAAAAATTCAAATTTTTAGCAAATATTGCGTTACATGAGCTGCTGAGAATTTACCATAAGAAATTATTTTAATAACTTTTAAGAATGACAAAAAAATATGGTAAAGTTTGATTCCTGAACTTTTTATAAAATTTTATTTAAGTCAAAAATCATCGAAAATTTATATTGCAACAAATCAGGACCAAAATTTTATTATATAAATTATTTAAAGAAGAAACTTACTTTCGTGTACATCTATTTTTATATATTTAAAGGCTATTCAAAAATCCAATAGCAAAACACATACCTGAAAAAGAAAAATAAAAAAAGAATTAGTTTTAACAATTCAATGCTAAAATTTTTATGTGTTTTTATAAAATAGAAGCCTTTATAGTTTTAAAAAATAAAAAATATATGCGTTATTAATATCTATAGTTCAGCTTTAATCATCATGTGTCACAATCAACATCCTTTTTAATATTACACATTTTTTTTTAAATTTCATATAACAGCATCCTTTTTTATAAAAAGAGAATTGCGTATAAATAACAATGAACAATAAAGTTTACCTTTTACTATCGTGAATAAACTTATTACGTCTTTTCAACAATATGATTTAAAAAAGCAAAAAAAAAAATTCTTCAAATAAAACAGGCGCAAAATAACAATAGGGAACATTTTTAAAAGAGGTGAAAAAATAAAATGAAAACAAACCAGCAATTTCTATTGTTGCCACAGCCACCTTGTTTTTCTTTACACTTTGTATATTGCGTTTTATTTAAAACAAAAAACATTCAATTTTCAATGCCAATAACAATAAATAATATTTGTCATACTTATTGCTTAAATAATATTGTAAATTAAGTGAAACGAATCCTTTTTCTTTTGCAAATAATTGAAAGCAGTTTACTTACATAGAACCCAGAACAGTTTTAAGAAAGTTCAAAAAAAAAAAATATTAAATTAATTTCTCTAAAATAACTCTAGCGCCTTCCTATGTAATTCGATTTTCGTATTCGGAAAAATGGTAAGGTAGTCCAATCAATTTATAAAATCCTACCTGGAAACACGAAAATCGTTTTACGAAAATTCAATTCCAAAAAAAGGCCCCTGCAACAGCAAAATTTATGAATTGTTTAATGCCTATTTCATCCAAAAATGTATACATAATTAAGAATGGAAAATATTTTATATAATCAAATTTTTCTTCTCTTACTACTCTTATTGCTACAACAGAATTCTCTCTCATGGAATTAGACAATCTCTAATAAATATAATTTTCTCTTTATTTTACATACTCTTTCAGTCTTGTTGACTCTTTTTTGATCTCTAAATTCTGTAAGCTTAATCCATTTCACAATTCTAAAATTGAACTAATGGCTGCATTATTTCTTAAATTTGTTCACGCTTAGTGATTCTAGACTATTTTTAAACATTATTTTCATAGATTTTACAATTCGGGTTTTATTAAAATTTGATCTCTTTTTTGTTTTAATTTGCCTCATCCAAATTTTGTAATTATATGGCAACCTCTTTCTTATAAGCACTTTTTTTTAATCTCTTTTTCCATCTCTTTGTTGCCGCAATTTATACGAGATTTATACGAAATAATAATATGAGATAACAGAGCACTCGGGATATTTTAAAATATTGAAAATTCAATAATTAATTTTATACAAAATTCAATATTTTAAATATTGCATTCAATATTTCAAAGTTCAATAAATGCAAATCAAATTTTTATTTTAATCTTACAAATTTTCATTTAATAGAACAAAAAAAATACCATTTGTGGCGACAAAATGTCTACCACAATGTTATTTTTACTGCATTATTTTCTTATAAAATATCCTTTTTTCTAATTTCAATCTTTGAAATATTACATTCAATAAATCAAACATTGAATATATAAAATAGAAACATATTGGGATAGTGAAAGTAATATTTAAATATTCCCAAAAAAAAGCTCTTCTACAATTTTCTATTAAAAACAAAAAATAAATCAACAAGAATATTAAAACCCCTGAGTTTATAAGTACAAATAAGAAGAATTTCCAAATTCACCCTAATAATTTTCAATCGAATAAATAAAAATCCTTAATGCTTCTTATAGTCCACAAATCTTCGTTGCTATGAGTTACTTTTCTTCCCTATAGTACTACTTTGTGTACAACGCATTCATTTCAAAATAAAAAAAAATAAAAAATTCTGAAGAATTAAAATATTTCCTTATTATTCCCATTTCCTATTTATACAAAAATTTTTTTTTCGGTCTACGTGCTTTTTTTAAATAACGCAATCTTATAAAAAGTACCTTAGTACGCATAGAATTCTATAGAAAATTGCGTATAATTATATACATATATGTGTATCATATTCGTGTTATATATCAGAATATATAATATAAGTATAAGTATATAGGAACGATAATGATGATCTCATCCTAACAAAATTCAAATTAACCCAACATAGAAAGAACAAAATCTCTTTATTTTTTTTTTGTATTTTTATTATTTTCTTTTTATATCCTTTGCATTTATAAATATATATTATAATATAGAGTAAATACACAGCACATACTTTGTATATATATCATAATTGTTATGTATACACTAATACATAAAACTTGATTTTTTGTGTAAGGATAAATGAGTCATCAAGTAAAAAAAAATTTTTTTTTTTACGAGTATTCTAATATTTTGATACTGAATGTTGAATACATTGTAGGATATCAAATGAACAATTTTGGGGTAAAATTAAAACAGGAACTTTTAATATCACATTCGCAAAATTTTAGATTTATTTATGAACGACAAGCTAAGATTTCAGAGGAAGAGGAAAGAAGTATCCAAATAATTTGAAAATTTTCTACATTTTGTATCACATTCATTCATATTGTATTACAATTTACGAAAGAAATGTCAAGGAAAAAGGTGATGCATCCTTTTAATTCATTTTTTATTGTATTCTTTTGTATAAAAACATAAAACATTTTAAATCCTTATTACATTGTCCTATTACAAATACATAATACTAGTTCAAGTTATATATGTAAACGCGTATAATATGTTATACGTATAATATTATAAAAGAATCTGTAACAAATTATTTATAGAATGTCATTTATTAATTTTATACATGTATTATTGTTATATGTATAACACACAAAAAATAATATACAAATACATTAAAAGAAATGGTCCCCTTTTTATTTTTTGGTTAAAAATACTGTTTTATATTGAAAATCACCCCTTAAAACTAGAATAGAAAAGAATTCTTTTCAAAATCAACCCATTCCATTTTATTTGATTATTATATATAATATAGAAAATATAGAAAAGCTTATATTTTATGTAACTATGGTGATTATAAAATGTAAGCCTTGTTATATACCTATATTATAGAATATATTATTATTATTATATACTAACAGTATAAATTATTATTTACAGGATTTTCTATAGAAAAAATTCCTGTCCATAAATATACATGCATACAATATTAGATTCTGTAATAATTTTCAGATCCAACGGTACTGTACTCATTTTATAAAAGTCATATAAAAGGTAAAATTTTGAATATTTACGAATTTCCAAGTAAAAATGTGATAGAATATATTATAGGAAATGAGGGAAAAAATGCGTAAATACAAAAAAAAAAAATAAAAAGTTTAAGCAGGATGAGAAATATTAAGAGGATATAGGATGTTTTTTTTACATGGCAGCTGGCAAAAATATACTTATATGTTCGTATTTAATTGTATATAATGCGAAAAATTGTTGTTCTTATACAAATCTATGTAGATGTAAAATACAAAATGTTGATATTCTACATGTGCACATTTAAAAATTATAATCTTGCAAACGCCTGGATTAGTTTTCAAAATTTAAGCATTCAAAATAATTTTTGATGCTATATATATTTGGTGTACATATAAAATGCATTTGCAACAATTCATTTCATTTATATATAGGAATAAAGTATGCGATAATTTTATAATTTTTAGAAAAATAAAGCTAAACCTTGACACGGGCAAATGTAAAAGCAAATATGGGGATTTTGAGATTATAGTTTCCATATTATTTAATTATCTTAACAGAATTTGGAATATGATTTTTTGAGCAATTTTTGTTTATTATTCAAGAAATATGGAAAATTTAACAGGAATATTTGTGAAATTTTTTTTAAAAATTACTTGGATCCTTGCATTAAAAAATTAAAATTGGATAATAAGAGTCATGATAATTGATGATTTCTTTGTATAACTTTAGTTGTTTAATCAAAAATCAAAATTTCAATATTAATTTAAGATTATTTTGTTTTCAATTTCGAAATATGCATCGAAATTCTGAAATCCATTTGAACATATATGTATAACATTTATATTTGAAAAAAATTCTTTGCTCGGGAATTCTTAATTCGTTTTTTTTAAATATTTATTATTAAACAATTGTACATAAGCAAAGCAAAATTGCATATTTTCAGGGGCATGAGAAAAAATTTTCCTTTTCTAAAGGAACATTAAAATTTTGTATTTGCAAAATATTTGGATTATATAAAAGATTAGAGAATTTTAAGATTTTATTGTTTTATTTTCTAACAAAACACAGACGCATTCATTCAAAAACTGTATTGAAAAAGAGGGTCAAAATCACTAAGGAATTTTCCAAACATGAAACTATAAACCCTTTTAAATATTAAAAAATTTTTGAAGTTTTTAATCAACTATGCGTGTATATTCGTAATATTTATTTTTTTTTTGTTCTTTTTGTTATTTATGCAAAAATTGCAAAAATATTTGTAAATAATTATACGAGATTTAAAATTAAATAACTAAATTAAAAAAAGCAGGAAGCAATGCAGATGAAATTTATCACCTGTGGGAAGAGAAGTGCTTTTTTTTCTCTTCATTGTTTAACCCTTACAGTATTTTTATATCTTTTTTGATAGTTAAGCTGCCGAAGCAAACAATTTAATATCTCAAATACAATAAAATCATACAATTAAGGTTTAATTTCGAAGATGACTGGTTTTGGCAAGTTAATTTGCATATTACACCATTTTATTATGCAAATATGTAATTTGCAAAATGGAAAAATTATATATGCACATATATTATGTATATACGTTATTTAAATGTTATATAGGCAAAATATATCATCATATTTTTATTATTACTTCAACTCAGAAATACATAAATTAAAAAAGTCCTCGTACCTTAAAAAATCTTCACTTATGTATGAATTAAAAATAAAGGGTAGCTATTAATGCGAAATAAAATAATGG